GTCGCTGTCCACCGCTTTAGTGCTGAAAGGCCCACAGCACGGTGGCTCCGTGTCTCTGCTGTGACTGCTGGCTCTCGCGGGTTGCTGGTTCTCTGCTGCTTCTCCGTGTTTCTGTGGGTCTCTGCTACCAGAGCGTGTCCAGTCGGGTACCGCCTTAATTTTCCCCCGTGCGCTTTCCTCAAGATGCGAGATCCACTGGCCACTGGATCACGCGGGAGAGCGCAAGGTGGCTGAAGCTGGGTGTCTGTGAGTCGATGACGGAGGAATGCTGCCCCCCGGAGAGGCTGGATCGCCGGCAGTAAGACACAGGACTCAGCCTAGTCTGTGTTACAGCTTTATTCAGTGACTCCAAGCCTTGGTGATCCAGTTCTCCATTATTGAGAGAAGACTGGGATATTTTATACTGTAGGGGCAGTGGTAAAAGCTATAGCTGATAGGCACTTTGTGGATGCCTCATTTGTGTGTGGAAATGGGCTCCTGCCATGCTGCCAGACTGCCAGACTGCCTGAAAAATCACACAGGAAAGCATGGTATTTCCAGAGCCAGAGGGCATGTTTATGTTGGGGCATTGGCGGGCACTTCAAAAGGTGAGTCAGGAGGATGCTAGGAAAAGCACTCTATTGTTAAAAGGAGTCCCTGCATTTATGCCGAGACCGTGGGCTCTCCAGTCATGGAGGAACTTCTACTTCACACAACTGGGGTCCCCAACATTTGTCCAGTTGGCCTGTCTAATGGAAAAAGTCCCCTACTATTACTGAGTTGGGGTTGATCCGTGTCTTAAAGTCCTGTAGCGTTGTTTTTATGAATTTGGGTGCAACAGAGTTTGGTGCATATATGTTAAGGATTGTAATATCTTCTTGGTTAACTGTTCCTTTAATCAGAATGAAGTGACCCTCTTTATCTCTTCTGAGTAGTTTTACTTTGAAGTCTATTTTGTCAGATATTGTATTGTTTCAAATATTCTTTGAAGGGTTGGTTTTGTGGACATGTATTCTTTCAGGCTATTCATGTCATGGAAGATTTTTCTCTCCCCCCGCCCCAACTATAATAGACATTTTTGCTGGGTAAAGTATTCTGGGCTGGCGTCTATTGTCATTTAGAACTGGAAATACCTTGGTCCAGGCTCTTCTGGCTTTCATAGTTTGCACTGATAAGTCAGCTGTATTTCTGATGGGCTTTCCTTTGTATATGACTTGTTTTTCTTTTTCTGCTTTCAGTATTCTCTCTTTGTTCTGTACATTTCTTTTCTGATCCTATTTGGTGTTCATCCCCTATGGGGATGTCTTTCCTTAATTTCAGGAAGTTCTCTTCTGTTTAAGATCTGGTCAACACCATTAACCTTAAATTCTTCTCCTTCGTCTATTCCTATGATCTGTAGATTTGGTCTTTTCATGGTGCCCCACATCTCTTGCATATTCCATTCCTGTGTTTTTAAAATTTTTCCATAATATTTTCTTAAGTGGTCCAGTTCTTCAACAGTGTGGTTTCCGTGTTGTTTCAAGTTGGCTTATTGAGTTTCACACTTCCTTCTTCATTTCTACCCATTTTCTTCGATGTGAATTCATTCAGAAGTTTATCCCTATCTTCTTTTAGCTCTTTGATTTGTTTGTTCATGTATTCTTTAAATTCCTTGATCATGTTTATGATTGTTCTTTTAAATTCTCTAGGGGGTTCTCCTTGTAGATTGGTGAAGTTTGGTGGTGTTTTGGCTTTCCATTTTATTATTCTTTTGTTGTGATTTTGGCACATGAATTTCTTTTGTTGTTTATGATTCTGATATGAGAATTAAATTGAAGTATTCTTCTGTTTGTATTATCCGGGTGCCTTGATCCTTTCTTTATTGGTTATGTAAAGCTGGTTGGTACAGGGTTCAAGTTCTCAGCTATTCAGGAGTGGAAGCCCAATTCAGGTTCCAGTCAGGTACACTCAGGCTTCCTTCACCACATGGAAGCAGGATCCGGGGGCTCTCAGGAAATCCCCTTCATTCTCAGGCCCTCTGCCTGAGGGAGGCCAGAACTCGGCACTCTCTGGAGGTCTGCTGAGATCAGAGCCTCTACACCAATAGAGGTAAGAAATGATGTGAAAATGGAAAGATCCTGGTGACAAAGGGCCTGATTGATCAAATTGTGCCAAAGGGGCTATGGATGTAGCTCAGTTGGTGGAATGGTTTCCTAGAATGCATAAAGCCTTGGGTTGGATGGAGGTGGAAGCAGGAGACCTTGGCTTAGAAGCCAAGTTTGAGGCCAGCCTGGGATACCTAATGTCCTAGTGTTTCTCCATTGCTGTGACAAAACATTCTGACCAACTTGAGGAGGAAAGGGTTTATTAGGCTTACATCTCCCAGGTCACAGTTCATCAGGGAGCCCAAGGTAGGAACTCAGGGCAGGAACCTGGAGGCAGGAGCTGAAGCACAGCCCATGATTACTGGCTTGCTCCCTGGCCCCTGCTCAGCCTGCTTTCTTACTCAGGTCCACCTGCCCAGGGGTGGCACCACCCACAATGGGCTGGGCCCTCCCATATCACTGAACAATCAAGAAGGTGCCCCATGGACATGGCCACAGGCCAGTCCCCAATTGAGGTGTCAAGTTGACACTAAAGCTATCCAGCACACCTAATAAGACCTGGTCTCAACATATCAATCAGTCAGTCAGTCAGTCAGTCAGTCTGGTGGCTAAACACTTAAGAGCTTAATACTGCTCTTGCAGAGGACCAGAGTTTGATTAGCAGCATTCACAGAGGGTGGCACCCAAGCACCTACAACCTCAGCCTGAGGGGAATTCCATGGGGACTTGTTCTCACAGTCACATATCCTGCAAGTGCTTCTTCCCACTGAGCCATCTCACTAGCCCTCCAATTTTTTCTAATAGCTCCTGATGACCTCTTTTTAGCTTTTTGCTTTCTTTGTGAGACAGTGTCACTTGGTATCTCATATAGGCCTAGATACCATTGCGTAGCCCAGCCTGGCCTCAGCCTCCTGAGAATAAATATAGGCATGACCCTGTGGGTACCTACCTGCACATGGTGTATTTATATACACTGGGACACACAAATATAAAATTAAAAGAAAAAAAAAAAGAGCCTATCCACGCAAGAACTCATGCTGCAGGTTTGTAATACTGAGTTTTTTTAGGCCAGCTGGCATGGTGGCACACTTAGGAGGCAGAGTTCAAGGCAAGCCTGGTCTACATTGAGTTCCAGGCCAGTTGGGGCTACAGGGAGACCCTGTCTCAAAAAGACAAAAAAAAAAAAAAAAAAAAAAAAAAAAAAAAAAAGAGAAAAGAAAAAAGAAAGGCTCTGTGTTTAAAACCACTGACTGCTCTTCTAGAAGACTATTCCAACCACCTAACAATGGTCAGTTCTGGGAGATCTAACTCCCTCTTCTGGCCTCCATACATGCATGTGGTGCACTTACATGCTGACAAAACATTCATATACATATAAAACTAAAGAAAAAAACCAAAAACACAGGCTGGGCGTGGTGGCACACACCTTTAGTTCCAGGCAGAGGCAAGTGGATTGCTGTGAGTTCGAGGCCAGCCTGGTCTACTTGGTGATTTCCAGGACAAAAAGTAAAGCAAAAAAACTGAAGCCCAAAACCACACAGAAACGTTGGGTGTGGTTATAATCCTAGCTCTTGGAGGTTCATGATCATCCTCAACTACCTAACTTTTGAGGCTAGGCCGTCTATATGACAAACAAGCAAAAGTAAATTTTGAAGTGTAGCTCAGTGTTAGAGGGACACATAGCCTACATGAGGCCCAGAGAATCTGGGCTCAACCCTTTGTACCACAAAACCGCCCAAAATTAGCCAAAATTAAAACCTAGTCTCAGTGGATGGAGTAGTGGAAGAGGGTGTGGCTGATCCCCTGGGACTGGAGTTACAGTTAACCTGACTACTGGGTGCTGGGAATTGAACCCGTGGCTTACTCTCCAGCCCTCTGGGATGATTCTTATTTGAACCTCTGGAGGTTCAAGGAAGGTCGATCCTGTTCCAAGGGCATGACTCACTGCTGGGTGGGACAGCCGCTGCACTAGCAGTAATGGAAGGCGCCCCCTCTTCCCGTTTTTGTCCACCGACATCATGCCAGAGGCGGTGGCTGTCTCCATCACCGGCCCCTTTCGGGGGGGAAAGAGGGCTACTGGCGGGAAGGCGGGGCTCTCTGGTGCGGGTCTGCAATCCTAGGATTTCGGCGGGGCCCCGAGGCCTCCAGGGGCGGGACCTCCAGGGGACGGGCGCTGTCCTTTGGGCTTTGGAGTTGGGAGAACAATGATTAAATGTGAAATTTATTTTTCTTTATTCTTTTCTTTTTTATGTCTTTTTAGACAGGGTCTCCCTGTAGCCCCAGCTGGCCTGGAAGTCGGTATGTAGACCTCATAGAGATTCCTCCTATTTCTGCCTTGGGAATATTAAAGGCGTGAGCCACCGTGCTTGGCCAGGGTTTTTCGGTTTTTTTAAGATAAATTTTTTTCAAGAGAAATTTTAAGGTGGTTGTGGAGGTACAGATATGTAAAACCAGAATTTAAGAGGTAGAGTGATCATCCTAGGTAACATAACCCCTCGCCCCTCCAATCCCCTATGCACTCAGGAGGTTGAGGCTAGAAGATTGGGCTCAAGTCCCAGTCTGGGAATACAGTAGTGTAAATGAAAATAAAACCAGAGTGCAGTGGAACCCTGTATTTAAAGAACCGTAAATTTGGCTTCTGCACTGCCCCTGGTGGTGGCCCAGAGAAAATGAAATATTTTAAGTATTTCCAGGAACCCGCGGTCGCCATTCAGTCATTTACATACCCACAATGCATTGCTCTCAGGGCACCGCTTAAATTAAAACAGATAAACTGATTTTTTTTTTCCCTTTCTTGTTTTGCTTTCTTAATAGTGTTTCCGCTTTCACAGACTTGTGCGCGATGAAATCAGAAATCACAACTCATTTGGGAAATAGTTCCCATTGGTTCTTTAGGAGTTAAGGTCGGAGGAGAACTGTGGGCGGAAGAGCCTACCAGTACTCTGGTTTCTCTTCAAAGCGTATAAATCTTTCGCCTTTTACTAAAGATTTCCGTGGAGAGGAACAACTCTGAGTCTTAATCCAAATTTTTTGAGGCCTTACAGACAGTAAGGCTAGTCATACTGGTTTAAAAGGAGGCTTAAAGAAAAAGTATCTGATCTGCTTAAAGTATGTATATATGTGTTGCACCAATGATGTATATAAATAGACCTCTGCAAGAGCAGCCATTGCTGTCAACCAGTGAGCCATCTCTCCAGCCCTCAACTTTTTTGAGTGTGTAGTTATTTGAAATTTTGTCTCAGAAAGATAAGAAAAGTAAAAGCTGATAGTTTGTAGGCATGGGCATGCTTGCTATTTGGGGCTGTGAGTTGTGGTCCGGGAGCTTGAAGAATTCCTCTTCTCGTCACATTTTCTGCTAATTCGTCTGGGCCGATTCTTGTATATTACCTGTTATTTATTTTTGACCCATCACTTCCAAACAATTTACCGCCTCAAAAAATACTTTTTTTTTTCTTCCCATTTCTGTGCCTTTTGGAAGTGGAGGAGTGTAATAGGCTTGCTCCCTTTCTTCCTCTCTGTCTCTATGTGTCCATCTCTGTCTGTCTTTCTCTCTTTCATGCTCACTCTTGCCTCTCATTTTGTCTTTATTGAGGGAAGTGAAACCCTAGGACTGAAGAGGTTATGGAGAGAATCTAAGACTTGACACTGTGAGGCCAACAGAGACCATTGGTGAATGTGCAACTGTAGTTGCAGTGAAGACCTCAGGATATAGTGCAGATGCCAGGACCAGGACCAGGACATGACCACCAAGGGCTGTGACAGATGAGGAGCGGAACTGGCCTGAGCCTAGGAAACAAGCTGCATGTGCTGTGGGTGGCAGAGCCAAAGTGGAGGTCCCAAGCCCTTTGTAGCCTGAAAAGTCGTGTGTCCCAGGTGTCTGACACTGCTGGACTTTGGTTTTAAGTGTGCCCAATTCTTCCCTTTTGAAATAAGACAGTATGTAGCTTATTTGGATTTTATTTATTTATTTATTTATTTATTTATTTATTTAATTTATTTATTTATGGTCTTTTTGAGACAAGGTCTCCCTGCAGCACCAGCTGGCCTGGAACTCAATGTAGACTAGGCTGGCCTCAATCTCTCAGAGATCTGCCTGCCACCATGTGCCACCACACCTGACTTTTATTTTATTTGATTTTATTTTTTTATTTTTTATTTTTTGGTCTTTTTGAGACAGGGTCTCCCTGTAGCCCCAGCTGTCCTGGAACTCACTATGTAGACCAGGCTGGCCTTGAACTCACAGAGATCTGCCTCCCGAGTGCTGGGATTAAAGGCGTGCGCCACTACGCCCGGCCAGTCCTAATTTAAGAGGATTTTTCCTTGGAGGGTTAAATTGTCAGGTTTCATTCTGAGGAAAAAAAAAAAAAAAAAAAAAAAGAGAAGAAGGCTTCTGCACTGCCCCCTGGTGGTGGCTCAGCACATTTACACTTTAAAGTATTTCCGGAAACCCGAGGCTGGAAACGTACCTTCATTTACATGCTCTCGTTGCATAGCGATCTCTGTTAAAGTCAGTAGCTCCTTCTTTCTAACTCTATTTACTTCAAGATGTACAGATTTCAGAGAACTATCTCAGGCCAAGGCAGAAGTCATTACAGAGTTCGAGTCAGTAGTCACCATTGGTGGGGTAGGAAGTACAGCCAGTTGAGAACCATATGTGAGCTCAGTTTTCATACTCTGGTTTCTCTTCAGATCGTATAAATCTTTCGCCTTTTACTAAAGATTTCCGTGGAGAGGAACAACTCTGAGTCTTAACTCAATTTTTTGAAGCCTTGCATATAGCAAGGCTGATGATTCTGGTTGAAAGTTAGGCTTATCTATTTAGTGTGGTACTGTCTGGTTGGTATGTACCTGTGGGTTGTTTGTTCTGGACACATCTTTCCTGGGTTTATGAGTGTTGGTAAGCACCTAGAAAAGAAGGTGGCCAGGCTTCTCGCAATGAACTCTTTTGGGGGAGCTCTTTCTGAGACAGGGATTACCCCTAATGCTGCTTCTGCCATTTGTTTTTGTTGAGGACTTGAATAACTTTTTTTCCTTTCCTTTTTTTTTTTTTTTTTTTTTTAAGGTTTGTGTTTGTGTGTATGCATGTAATGTGTTTTAATCAAGTCTCCAACTCCTCCCAAATCTCCCCATCACTTTTTCTCTGACAACTAACCGATTGACTTTTGTCCCTCCACCCCACGTGGTGAAAGGTGAGACTTCCAAACAGCATGTGTGTGCATGTGTTTGCACACAGAGTGAATGAATGAATGTATAAAACAAACAAGAGCTGGGCGTGGTGGCACATGCCTTTAGTTCCAGCACTCCAGAGGCAGAGGCAGGTAGATCACTGTGAGTTCAAGGCCAGCCTGGTCTACTTAGTGAGTTCCAGACCAGCTGGGGGGCTACAGGGAGACCCTGTCTCAAAAAGACCGAAATAAATAATAAATAAATAAATTTAAAATAAAAAACAGAAACTAACAACAAACCAGAACAAAACAAAACAAAAATTGGGCTGGAGAGATTCCTTAGCAGTTAAGGGCACTGACTGCTCTTGTAGAGGACCCAGTTTCAAATCCCAGCACCTACATGGTGGCTAACAACTGTTCATAACTCTGGTTTGAGAGAATACAATGAAAAACAAAAGTCAGGCGCCATGAAGTCCCTCAGGCAGGTCGCGTACCGGTCAAGAATATGGAGCACTGTACTCTTGAAGACTCCATCTCATTACTCCTCAGGGAGGAGAAGACAAGCTGTTGCAGCAAAGCATCTGTCACACAGTGAAAAATAAAAGTCAGGCGCCATGAAGTCTCTCAGGCAGGTCGCATACCGGTCAAGAATTCCAACTTACTGATAAGTAAGTTTTATGGTCGAGACATCTGGCTTACTGATAAGTAACTTTTATGGTTGAGACATCTGGCTTACTGATAAGTAAGTTTCCCGCTTTCCCTGTAGCATTTTGTAATAGTTTAAATTAGCCAATAACCGCGCTTCTGCTTCTGTATCCCGCTTCTGCTCTATAAAAGTTCCAAAAACCCGGCCTGAGGCGCGCAAGTTCTCCGAGGAGACTTTGTGCCCACAGGTACCTGTGTACTAAATAAACCTCTTGCTGTTGCAACCCGAAGGCTGACTTGTCCTCAGTGGTTTCACTCTTACAACAACACCCTTTTCTAACCTCTGGGGGCTTTGCACAACATGGGTACACTTACATACATGCAGCCAATACACTCATACACATAAAATAATACATCTATTAATATTTTATTTTTATTTTATGTGCATTGCTTGCATGTAGGTAAGTGCACCCAGCTCGTGCAATGCCCATGGAAGACAGAAGAGGCTGCTGGATCCCCTGGGACTGGAGCTACAGATGGTTGTTAGCTGCCATGTGGGTGCTAGGATTCAAACTCGGGTCTTCTGCAAGAACAGTCAGTGTTCTTAACCGCTGAGCCATCTCTCCAGCTCCAATATAAAATATTTTTAAAACTAAAAAAAGAAGCAAAAAATAATAATTAAAACAAACATACAGACACAATACCAACCCTCCCAAAGCAAAACAAAGGAAAAAAAAACAAAAACCCCAAAGACAACATATAACCAGAAAGAGTGAGAGACAGAAGGACAGAGCACCCTTTCAACCCCTCCATCAAAACAAAAACCAAAGCCAGGCATGGTTGTGCACGCCTTTATTCCCAGCACTTGGGAGGCAGAGGCAAGTGGATCTCTGTGAGTCTGGGGCCAGCCTGATGTATATCATGAGTTCTAGGCCAGCTGGGGCTACAGGGAGATCCTGTCTCAAAAAAAAAAAAAAAAAAAAAGCAGGGGGAAAAAGAAGCGATGTTGGGGGAAGTTAATCTAGAAGGTTTTTTTTCTTTTTGTGGTTCCAAGATTCAACCCAAGGTCTCCTCTTGCCATTACTGGGTAAGTGCTCTGCCACTGAGTTACATCCTCAGCCTCTACCTTTTGTCAAAACCACAGAACTACTGCCGCTTCTGTCAAACTTGTGATTCAGCCAAAATTTAACAACTGTTTAATGAAATCCCAGACATCTTTTGCCACAAGGGGAAAAAATGCCAGTATTTTACAAAGGGGCTGGGAATAGAGCTCAGCAGCTGAGCCTTGATGACCTTGATTGAATCCCCAGTACTGCAAAAGTACACACAAAAAAACAGGATGATGGCCAGGCATAGTGGTACACACCTTTAATCCCAGTGCTTGGGATGCAGAGGTAGGCTGATCTCTGAGCTGAAGGCCAGTCTGGTCTACATAGTGAAATCCTGTCTCAAAACCAAAACAAAACAAAGTTGAGCGCCAGAGCCTGATCCATTCAACCCCATAACTGTGTGGTTCTGAGGTAGCCTATATGCTCCATGCTTCCTGCCCATCACTGACTGACACCTTTTTAAAATATTTTATTATTTTTCTTTTATGTGTATGAGTGCATTGCCTGCATATAAGTGCACCTGTGTTGTATAATGCCCTTGGAGGTCAGAAGAGGGTGTTAACAGTTGTTAACCATCATATGGGTGCTGGGAATCAAACCTGGGTCCTCCGAAAGAGCATCCAGTGCTTTTAACAGCTGAGCCATCTCTCCAGCCCCGGCTTACTGACACCTTAAATGCACATGTATGTGTTTCCTAGCATTAGAACCTGTTTATTTTCCTGTCACATCAATGCTTATTCTCCCAAGCAGGGCCCCAGTCACTGACACTCTTCTCTTCCCAGCCCTTGAAGTAGGTGGGTGGGGTGATGGAGCCCCACCTCTCAGCCAGTTCTCATCCAGCTCCTTCTAGGAGCCTCATTTGCATCTCTGGGAGTAGCTGCCCAATGGGAAAACAAAGCCATGCTTCCTCCCACTGGTGGACTGAACCACTTGGGTTCCTGGAATGAGGAAGAGTGATTCCACTGGCACTCAGTTGGTGGCCCCTCAGATCAATCTGGAGCTCAGAGAAAGTCTGTGTGTGGGGTGGTGGGGTGGTGGGGTGTGGAGGTGGGGTTGTTTCTGGCATTGAGAGGCCCAGCAGCTCATGGACCAGAATAGGCTTTTTTTTTTTCTTTTTTTTTTTTTTTTGAGACAGGGTCTCATTTATGTAGTTCCAACTGGCCTGGAACTGTGTAGACCAGGATGGCCTTGAACTCAGATCTGCCTGCCTCTGCCTCCCAGTGCAGGATTAAAGACAGGCACCAGCACTTCAAGCTTAAGGACAGCTCCTTAACGATCTGGATCTTTTTTTCTTTTGGCAGAGGGGTGTAAGGGTCTCGGGACTGGAGAGATGGCTCAGCAGTTAAGAGCACTGGCTGCTCTTTCAGAGGATACAGGTTCAGTTCCCAGCACCCAGAACAGCTGACAACTGTCTAACTACAGTTCTGGTGGATTCAATGGCCATTTTACGGGCACTGCATACGGGTGTACTTACATACATATAGGCAAGACACTCATACATAGGAAAAAAAAAAACAGTTTCTCATTCTATAGCACATGCTGGCCTTGAGCTCACAGGTAGCCCAGGCTAGCCTGGAACTTATGGCAATCCTCCTGCCTCAGCCTCCTGACTTCTTGGGTTATAGGCGTTAGCCACCACACTCAGCTTTTCTGGGTCACTTTAAACTGGGGGTGAGCAGTGTCCCTCACAGCAGCATCACGAGTGCTTCACTGGTCGAGAGGCACTGCAAGTCAGTGCTACCAGTCAATTCACTTGACTGAGATGAGCAGGTATCCATCCCCATGTGGATCTATAAGCTTTGCATCTCAATGCTGCAGAACAGCAGGGACTACAACTATAGCTGTCCAGTTCCTGCTGCAAGGTGTTGCTTAGTGGCCAAAGGCCCTCAGTCCCCAAATCAGCAGGATAGAGCCCAGGCCTTATGGGTACTGCTCTCTCAGCATGGCTGGGACAGCCAGCATCCCATCTGTGGAAACCACCTGTGGGAAGTGAGGTAACATAGGAACAAGGTAACACAGGAACAAGATGGGCAGTTCCAGGCTAGACCCACACCAGGCCTAGCTGCTGCCATTTCTCAGTGGGTACTGGGTTTAAGCCTGGTCAGCCCCTCCACAAGTGAGGCAGGTCCAAGGACTTTCACCACTTGGCTTCCCACTGGGTTTGTGATTGGGTGACCATTTTATTCCATCTGGACCCATCAAGAACCCTGTAGAGACACCTTGTTACCATTCAATTAAATCATGCTCCATGACGCATCATCTCTTCCTTGAGTGCCCAAACCATCCATGTCTTACACTTGCTTCCTCAGTCCCCTGGGCGAATTTCTCATTTTCCAAAACCACACTGCTATCCCAATACCTTCAGATGCTTCTCTGAGAAGTCAAGTGCTTTCTTGTATTAACCAGACTTCCCAATATTCCTTGAGCAGACTATAATCCAGGCCTGGTGCCATGGGCCCCTAATCCAGACAATGCAGATGCTGAGGCAGAGGACTAAAAGTTCAAGATAAGTATCCCTAGCAAGATACTATCTCAAAAATAAATGTAGAAAGAAAGGGCTGGGAATACAGTACCTAGTATATAAGACCCTAGGTTCAACATTCAGCACGCCCCAGGTTGGCTTATCTGCAGTCTCTCACTTGTATACTGGGCTCTAGGCATGGGGACAGGAACTGCAAGTGAACTAGAGATGGAGTTCTATTAAATCTAAGTACAGGTGTGGACGTGGAAGTGCACACGCTTCCTACAAGAGTACAGAACCAGAGGCCAAAGCTGCAGTAGTGTCCTTGGTCCCAGAAGGCTCAAGACACATTGCAGGCTCTAACACATCACACAAAAGTCCGATTTTTTTCTTTATTGTTAGATAAAATATATAAATACAAAAAACTGCAAGGAAGGGGTCTCAGAAAACTTTTTTTTTTTTTGGTGTTTTTGAGACAGGGTCTCCCACCACTCAGACAAGTCCCAGAACTCACTGTGTAGAACAGACTGGCCTGGAACTCAGAGATCAGCTTGCCTCTGGGCCCTGAGTGCTGGGATTAAAGGTGTGGCCCACCACACCCTGATGGGT